CACTGACCTCAAAACCTCTCCCCATTCAAGAAGCAGGAGGAGGGTTAGGAAAGGAGGAGCAATCATGCAGAGCTCTGTTCCTTGTGGATGATAGTAAATACTGGAAAGACAACAACAGTCTCAAGAACAGGCCTTTGCAGGAGCTCAGAGACCTGAGAGGAGCACATGTGGAGGCTCTGAACTGTAACACCCACTAATGATTCATGTGATTCGTGTCTGTTTCCCATGGGATACAAAGCTCGAAAAGAAAACTGCCATACTTAGCACTGGGGTGCAGCCAAGCCTCATGGGCTCTTATTTAAGGTGGAAGTGGTTGCTCAATCTATATATACTAGAGGCCCAGTGCACGAATATGCAAATTGTCCCCATGGGATTTCAACTGGGAGACCAATTGCTAGCTATGATGTGCATTGACCACCAGGGGACGGCCCAGAATGAAGGAAGGCCCTGGCCAGCAGCTGGCAGCTGGGGAAGGGAGGCCCCAGCTGGCAGCCAGAAGGCCCCGATCAGCCCTGATGGCAGGCCAGGCCTAGGGACCCTACCAGTGCATGAATTTTGTACATTGGGCCTCTAGTATAGATATAATTTATTTCCCCTGAATAGGAAAAAATCTGAAGTGACAGAGCAGACTTTTTCTAATATGCATGATGGCCATGGCTGCTTTTTGTTGTTGTTTGGTTTTATTTATGCCCACCCCTAAACAAGGGAAACAGAAAGTGGAAATCTACTTTTCTTACATTTTGGCACAGTCTGCATTTCAGAACGTAAGAGGTATCTGTGGAAAAATATTACAAAAGAGTGATAGCTTCCCTCTAGCTAGTCTGATAAATTATATTAGTATAAAAAGAAAATCATTAGCAAAGACAAATGTAATCAGAAAAATCACAAGCCTTAATGAATTAATCATGATGAAATATATTTTCTTTAAAAACAAAAAGCAAAAGAAAACCAGACACAAACCTGTCCTGCAGCACAGGGAAGTAAAGCAGGTAATCGACGCCATTGATTTTTATTCTTCCATTTCCATGTTCATAAACAACTGCCTCTGCTTTTGCACTCTTTCTTCTACCTTTAAAAATATAAAATTTCTAATAGTAAAAATCTGAAAGAGCAGGGCTTTGAGACAATAAAGTCACATTAAAATTTTTTCTTCCAAATAACAATATATAGCACTACACAGGAAACTCCACAACTACTATACAAGTCAACCAAAAATAAACAGGTAAACTATGCCATAATCAATGTAATAGAGCTTATTATGTGGTAATTTTGAACACTACAATGACTTTAAGTTAGTTAAATATGAAGTAATTTATATTTATTTATATTACTTTAAAAAAAATCAACCAATTTACAGTGTTCTTTTATATTCAATAAGAATGTATTTAATCATATAATTTTTAAATATTTGAAAAGTATAAGATATAATTGATAGAAATGAAAGTAATGACGAAGCAAGATGTTAAATTTGTAAGAGTTGCAGGTGTATCATTTAATACTTTAATTTAAAAAAATATATATTTTTATTGATTTCAGAGAGGCAGGGAGAGGAAGAAAGAAACATCAATGATAAGAGAGAATCACTGACTGGCTGCCTCCTGTACACCCCACTAGGAATTGAGCTGGTGACCTGGGCTTGTGCCCTGACCGGGAATCGAACTATGACCTCCTGGTTCATAGGTTGATGCTCAACCACTGAGCCATGCCAGCCAGGCTAGTATGTTAATTTTTAAAAGTCACACCATGTCAAATGTCTGCACACCTACAAGGAGAAGGTGAGTGAAGGCCTAAAGTTCTCAAGTCTCATAGTTGTAGCTTCTGATATGCAGACTAATGGGCACTTTCATTTTTTTATAAGAAACCTTTATTATAAATGTTTTAGTGTTTCTACCAGTTCAAAGTGTAAAAATAAAAAGATTTAACATAAATATATGAAAATAAAAAAGGGTTAATATGATTCTGTAGGAATGTGTCCACATTTTTTTTAGGACATTAAAATTTCAATAGAATCTTAAAAATGAGGAATTCCAAGGTAGCAATAGCAAAAATAAACAAACAAACGAATCGAATGAATCCCAGAGAGCAATAGCAAATAAAAATCCCTGTAGATTCATAGCCACCATGGAGCTCACTTCTCTCCGTGGAGTGCCATTACCTTCGCTGGTGCTGAAGGCCTTTCCCTGCGCGTCATGCTGCACGGGCTCAATCGGCTGCTTCTTCGACTGCACAGTGACACTCCTGCGGAAGCTCTGCACAAACTCTCCGGCAGCCCCGCACTGCAGTAACCTCTCCATCAGCCGCACGAACTGCGCGTACTGCACACAATACAAACTCATTAGAAGATGCAAGTGTAATTGCATTTGCTAAATTTTTTCTATTTTGATAGACTCGATCTTTCCAATGTTGCTTTCATGATGGTTTTGACAGGATGACACGTGGGCACCTTCATGCTGCTTTTAACGCAGCGTGCAGAGATGCAGCACTTACCCGTGGATCTTCAGGGCTCACTCATTTCTTTGAGAAACAAAGAATATGTCAATCAAAGAAGTCAACTTCTCCATATTTTGATGACGTGAAATTGAGATTTAAATTCATTTTCAAAAAAATATTTAGATGATCTTCAAGAGTAATTTCTACTTCTTATTAGAACAGTATTTAGAGGAGCTTCATAAATAATTTCCAGTAAGTTATGTGTAGTAAAATGGGAAGAGTTTGATTTTGAGAAAATGTACTCTTAAATTATATTTCATAATACACTTGGCAAATATATCTTTAGCTGTTCAAGCTGTGTTACTTTAATGTTTATGATTTCCTTTAAAACCGAACAATCAAGCTATTTAAAAATTCAAGAGATACTTGACTTAAAGGGCAACCTCTTGAAATAAATTATCCTTGCTACTCTGTGCATTTTTTTTAATAGTTCTTGAACATGTGATTAGAAAGTAAACAACTTGGTATTAACCCCTTAAAATTATAAGTCAGAATAATCACTCTAAAGTGTTTTTGCAAAAGGAAACAACTAATACTTGAGATCCTCAGGTATGTGCAGTATGAAACCAATTGTGATCATCTTATGTTTTTGCCAACCCTAAAAGTCACACTCGTCTTTGTTACCATTGCCTTTAGTGTGAAAATCTGCTATTGGTAACTTGAATCATAGAAGAATCTCAC